TCGCGTGCGTCTCGTTGACGGACTGCGCCACGGCGCTGATGCCGAGCGTCGAGTAGGAAGTGGCCACGGCGAGCGACTGCGTGAAGGCGCCCAGGCACGCCGTCGACCAGTCGGCGCAAGTCTCTTCGAAGATGAGCAGGCAATGCGGCTTGTCCGTCGTCTGCAGGTCAACGCCGGCCGGGGCCGGCTGCAGGCCCAGCTCGAGGAGGCCAATGCCAAAATCCTTCACGCGCTCGCCCAGCTCACGGTACGTGGTCCACTGCGTCTCGCCGAATTTCTGCAGGGGGAACTTCGCACCCTCAGGCTTGTGGGTGCCGAGATACTTGCGCGTGCCGCACGCTGGTCGGGCCGCGTTCTTGGCGAACGACAGCTGCATTAGGTCGTGCACGGTCCTGGCAGACTCCACCGGCGTCGTGAGTAGACGCTCCTTGCTGGTCGCAAGCCGCCATTCTCCCTTCTTCACCTCGACCGATACCGCACCTCCCGGGATGCAGGAAACGAGCCACTTGATCGGCAGGACGATGGTCGCCAGCCAGACGACAACGTCCAACAGCCACAGGATCCACGCGATGGGGTTCAGCAGCACTTCTTTGGGAGGCGACGCGTAAACCTTGAATGGGTCGGTCAGGGAGATGGGAAAAGGCAAGGCGCCCAGAAATCACAGGGGCATCACGGCACAGGAGCGAGAGGAAGATGACAAGGAGGGCGAGGAGGAAGAGGATATGAGGAAGAGGCGAGGAGAGAGAGGGCGAGAGGGCGAGGAGGACGAGAGCCAGAAGGAAGAGGCGACGAGGAAGAGGGAGAGATGACGAGTAGGGCGAGGAGGAAGAGGACGATAATGAGGAGGATCAGAACGGTGATGGAGTACGAGGGCGGGGGAAGCAAGAGGAGAAGAAGGGGGGAGGAGGATCAGAAGGGGGATGGATGATTACAAGGAAAATGGAGGAGGATGCTCTGGGTTTCGCTACCAAAACTTGGCCAACGTACAAGGAGGAGGAAGCTTGGAGACCCAATAGGTCCGCAGATCGCAGTAGGGGGGGGAGGAGGAAGGAGGAGGATCCGTTCCTCTAGCTCTACAGTGCGGGCGCAGCCGCAAGAAACCCTCGCAAGAAACCCAGCCCTGAAAACTCGCGCGGGAGATGTACTCGGGGGGGAACCCAGAGCACCCTGAACGCAGCAGCATCTTCCACGGCCGCGGGAAGTCACCGCGCAGCGCGCGGAGCGAACAACCCCAAGGTACCCTGACGAACAGCATCTGGCTTTTGATGCGCGTCCCCACTGCATGCTTCTGGGAGGCCTACGCTTCTTTTGGAGGCGAGGCGAAGCGCAAGCCTTGAACGGGTCGGCCATGGTCTGCCACCCGTCGCGGGCGAGGGCTGGGGCGGCAGCTCCAGGGGGGGGGGGGGGAGACGAGCTCCGAGGGAATCCCCTTGGAGCAAAAATGGCTGCGCGGGACCGCGGGAGGGGGGCTTCTGCCCCTCCCTCGCCCTCTCCTCCTCCTCCCCCTCCCCCTCCTCCTCCTCCTCCTCCTCCTCCTCCTCCTCCTCCTCCTCCTCCTCCTCCTCCTCCTCCTCCTCCTCCTCCTCCTCCTCCCCCTCCTCCTCCTCCTCTCTCCTCCTCGTCCTCGTCGTCCTCGTCCTCGTCCTCCTCCTCCTCCTCCTCCTCCTCCTCCTCCTCCTCCTCCTCCTCCCTCCTCCTCCTCCTCTTCTCTTATTTCTTCCTCCTCCTCCTCCTCCTCCTCCCTCTCCCCCTCCCCCTCGCCCTCCTCCTCATCCTCCTCCTCCTCCTCCTCCTCCTCGTCCGCCTCGTCCTCCTCCTTCTCCTCCTCCTTTTCCTCCTCCTTCTCCTCCTCCTCCTCCTCCTCCTCCTCGTCCGCCTCGTCCTCTTCTTCTTCCTCCTCCTCCTCCTCGTCCGCCTCGTCCTCCTCCTACTCCTCCTCCTCCTCCTCCTCGTCCGCCGCGTCCTCCTCCTCTTCTTTTCCCTTCTCCTTCCCTCTCTCTCTCCGCAGGCGCCCTTTTTTTGTCAGGAGAGCGTGCCTTGCTAGCCTGCACTGCTTCTCGGCGCTGTCCCCTCAGGAGGCCCCGGAGTGCAGCGGGTCCTTGCCGGCGCGGCCGGCCCCTCAGAAGTCGTCACCGCGGGAGACCACCTCTTTGCAGGTCGGTCGCAGCAGGATGGTGTGCTCCATCTGCGTGACGTACGAGCCCCTCTGGTCGCACAGGGGCGGGTAGCTCTGGACCAGGTCGTTGTCGACCAGATTCTTCAGCGCCATGATGTGCCGCGTCTGGCCGACGTCGTCGAGCCACCGGCGGCAGAAGGCCAGGGTCCCAAAATTCTGCTCGATGGCGTGCAGCAGTGCCTTTGAGCTCTTGACGCGGAGCGGCGTGGGTGTCGCGTTGAACACCTTCATGTAGTGCGAGCACTCCAGATCCTCCACTACGTATCCCTTCCCGTTGGAGGCGAACGTCTCTATGGCATAGAACTCGTTTTCCTCCATCTTGGTGAGGTCTCCGTTTTTCACTATCCCGACGGACTTCCCTGCATGGATCCGGTATGGCTCCATTGAGTGGCCGTTCAGATTGCGCACAGGTTTTATCGGGTAAGACTTGCCATTCAGCTCGATCTCGTAAGACTCGATGGTCTCCTGAATTGCCTCTCCTATGTCTGTGAAGCGGGCGTCTATTCCAGCCTCCCTGATGCCCGTGTTTGTACCCTCTTGTGTGGCCTCAATGATGGGGTCATACTTCGGCTCAAACGCTATGGTGAAGGCGCTGTCCACGATGCGTCCCCCAACCTGGACTCCGAAGTCCAGCTTGCAGACGTCCTCCTGCTGCAGCACGGTGTTGTCGCCGTAGTTGGGCGTGTAATGAGCCGCGACCCAATTGAGGGAACACCCAGTGGGGAAGCCCCAGCCGCAATCCAGGCCGTTGGCCTTGATTTGGAGGCAGCCGAGGGGTCTGAACTGGTTGAGAACCCCAGAAAATCTGTCAGGAGGGGGAGGTGAACCAAAATCGTTCGCGGATCCCTCCCTGGATCCATCTGGTACGCTTTTTGAGCCCGGATCCTTTTTCCACGGTCGCGGGGCTCGCAAATGGCCCCAGGAGGCCGAAAAAGGTCCAAAACTTCCACAAACCCAAAACCTCGAACCTGCCCGCCCTTCCTGCTGGCCGGAACCTGTGCTGGGCCACCTCAGACACCCAGCCGGCTCCAGGCCTTGATAAGCTCGTGCGTCTTGCGCTCCAAGCGCTGGCAGATCTCGGTCATGGTGAGCCCGGGGCGGATGTACGACTGCGCGTACCGCCTCACCTGGCGGTGGCACTCGGCCGCCAGACGGATCTTGTCGTAGTCGTACTGGTGGAGCCTTCGGGGTTACGCAACTGTGTAGAATAAGCTGTTCCGCCGTCGGGGACGCCTGCTCCAGGTCGGCTGGTAACGCTATACCCCTACAAAGGCACGTCGGCGTAGAAATCGAGGGCGGCCAAGAGGGGGGCGTCCAAGAGGGGGGGTGCAATTCATGACCGGCGGCACGTGCGCGGCCCAAAGGGGGCCTGGGGACGCAATGAAATACGAAGAGACGCCATGAAATCTGAGAAAATATCATGGCCCACGCCATGATATCCCCCCCCCTAGTCATCACTCCCCTCTTTGCCGACCCCGAAGAAACTTTCCAGCCGCGCTGAGGCAAGCGTCCCCGATGCTGGAACAGCGAATCTCTTCGTCCGCTAAGGGAGCCGCTCCAGCTCCCGCTTCTCAGCGGACGTGGTGCGGAAAGCGTTGTCCTCCGAAGGGGCAACGGTAGGGGGGGGACCAGCTCAAGGGGGGGGGTGGGGGGGAAAACATCGAGCTGGAGTCGGCGCTGCCTCGCCGATAGATCGGCGACAGGCCGTCGACCGCGGAACCCGGGCGTTCCCGCGCGGGGTGGGCTGTCGGGTCCCCATCTGGCGATGAGTGGGCGAGGACGGGTCGATGCGTTGGCCCCCGACCATGTCCCCCCCCCCCCCACACTGGCCATTGCTCGGACGGCCATGCCCTGTGCTCTTTTCGGTTTCGTGCGCGGTTTTTTTCGCCACATGATCGAGGATGCTCCTCGACGGCCCTCGCCGAGAGAAAAATGCACACGTCCGAGCGATGCCAGGCACAGAACCTCGCGCCATACGCGCAGCGTGGGGGAAAGCGGACCGCTCACCCACCTCACCATCACGGGGGGATGCGAAGTCCCCGTGAACGGGACGGGGTGGGCACAGTGCGGCCATCATAGGCAGCTCGCGCTCAATTCGAGACCATCAGCGAGGCTCGTTCTGGGAAGAAGCACCACCATATACGCAGGAGGTATCTGTACACCACCACCGTGTCTGGCCAGGACCATCCTGTGCCCCTGGATGGTGTATACGCCTCCTGGCCGAGGCCAGGAGGGTCTATACACCATCGTGGGGCCCAGGACGGCCCTCGCCAGGCAGGGTAGTGGTGTATAGATGTCGTGTGCGGATCATCGGATCCTTCGTGTACTCCTGAATCTGCCCTATCGGGTAGTCCGCGTCGGGGTACTGGTCGGCCACCGGGACACTCAGCTCGGGGCACTGCCGCCAGCTCTCGATCGCGGGCCAGTTGCCCAGCCGTCTGAACACAGTGTTGTCCTGCTCGGGCACGCTGAACTGCTTGCCAGCGGAGCCGCTCGGGGGGTCATCCGCACCCCCTCCCCCGCCCGCCTTCTTCTTCCTGTTCCGCTTCTTTTTCTTGGCCCCAGCGCCGGCCGGGTCGTCGCCGTCTTCCTCCTCCTCTTCCTCGGCGCCCTTGGCATCCTCTGCCTTGCCGCCCGCGGCCGCTGCGTCGGGCTGGTCTTTGGCATCCCCCGCGTCTTCGCCGCCGTCCTTCTCGTCGGCCTTCTTTTTTTTCTTGTTTTTCTTTTTCTTCGCCGCCTCGGCCTCGGCGACGGGCTCCAGCAAGTCCTCCTCGGCTTGGTCGGCCATATCGCGGTGCAGCCCTTGCTGGCTGCTCGTCCGGGACAGGATCCGAATCTACGGCCAAGGCTTGAATCCAAAATCGCTACGGAGCGCAACAGCCCAGCGATTTCTCGAAGCGGCCAGGGACCTAAACTGGGTCACCTGACCTCGCGCGCGCCGCGCCCCACGATGCGCGACGCGCGGTCGTCTTCGCGCCCTCGCGAGGCCACCTCGGAGAAGGGCAGCTCTCGCGGGGATATCTTCGCGCCTCCGCCCGGCGACCTTGGAGAAGGGCGGCGGCAGCTCTCTGGCCCAGGCCGCGGCGCGCGAAGCGCGATGAATCATCTTCGCGCCTCTTGGCATGCCCGGCTGCCTGTCAACTGCCTGGTAGGGTTTTGTCCTTTCACGAGGGGGACCTCTCCCTGCTGGCATGCGGCGGATTCGTGTCGTGGCGCGGCTGTTCATTCGCAGCAGGTCGCTCCAGTTTGGCTGGTTCTGGGCCACTGGCGCGTTCAAACTGAAGGCCCGCGGCGTGGTCGCCGCCGCGTCGACACGACACGAACCGACCGTACCTTGCTGACAGAAATCTTCACAGCGCCCGGCCAGACGGCCCCGATCTGATTCTACCAAGCCTCTTCAGGACGGTAGAACCAAACCATCGCACCCATCGCACCCTTGACGGCCCAAGGATCCCACACGAGCCCCAAACATGCCCTCCAGAAGCCTCCAGGAGGCCCCTGGTGAGCCCCTAGGAGGCCCCAATGACGCTCCCATGAAACCTCCATGGAGCCCCCAGGAGGCAATGCAGTAAACTTTTTCCCGGTAAGGGCTCCGGCCCGAGGCTCTCTTTTCCCGCGAAAGGCTCCAGCCCAGGGATCTCTGCTAGTTCGCGGGCAGAAAAAAAGCCCTCCACCAAAAGGGTGTCGAGCAGCGGTGCCGGAATTGGACACGTAAAACTGCGTGTGCGGAGGGGGGGGGTCTCCAGCACGAGTCTGGGCACGTGTGCGTTCGGCAAATGTTTTTGCGTGAATCTGGCCGCGACGGGCACGCAACTTAGCCCCCCGGACTCTTCTCGTGTAAAAAAAATGCATGCGTTGAGGGGGAGCCTAAGATGCGCTTGGCGCGTGCACGCAGCGCACGTACTATCACATGTCCACGGCCCCCAGCGAGGGACTCAGCCTAGCCCGCCGGATCGCTTACTTACCAGCCCCGAACTTATCCCTATCCTTAAGATTGACACGCCAAAATGCGATGACAACCTTAGGGATGCGCCCTCAAAAAAGAAGGAAATTCCTAAGATTGGCATCGTGATGAGGAGATGGCCAGCATAGGGAGAGGGATAAGTTCCAGGCTGGTAACTTACGTGTGGAAATGCGTGCGCGGAGGATGGGAACCAACATGCGCCTGTGGCGCGTGCGCGCGCGGGGCACGTATTTTCGCGTGCCCACGGCCCCAACCAAAAATGCGTGCTCGGAGGCGGCCCAACATGCACCTGGCGCGTGCGCGCGGGAGCTGTGTCTCCACGCGTCCACAGCCCCGATAAAAAATACGTGCGCGGAGGGGGGGGGCCAGCATGCGCCTGGAGCGCGCACGCGGGGGATGTACTTTCACGTGTCCACGGCCCCTGGCGAAGGATTCGACTTAGCCCGCCGGAGACTTCGCACGTGAAAACCTGATCGGACAAGAACGGGAAGCGCTGCTTCAGTCTAATGGGCGTATTGGGCGAGGAAGGAAAGGACGGCGAGGGCAACGAGGAGTCGATAACGAGGACGACGTGGCAAACGTGAGGATAGCGAGGAGGAGCATGAGGACAACGAGGAGAAAGAGAAGCACAAGGACGAGGACGAAGAGAACGAGGGCGAGTACGAGGAGGAATGCGGAGGGCGATGACGACGACGACGACGACGACGACGACGACGACAGAGGACAATAAGAGGCAATTGGAGAAAGACGTTGCTCCTGGCGCCGCGCGGGGTTGTCTTGGGGCCTGTTGGGGGCTTCTTGGGGGCCCCTTGGGTCCTCTTATGGGCTTCTGGGGTCTTCTTGGGCTGTCTGGGCACGTCGTGGGGTTCTGTGGGAACTTTCTTAGGCCGTCTCGGCGCCATCTTGAGCAGCTTGCGGCTTTCTTGGCCGTTTGGGGGCCTCCTGGGGCGCTCCCTGGAGTCTCTTGGGGCCTTCTTGGCCCTTCTCGGGCCGTCTTGGGTTTCTTGTGAGCTGTCTGGGTGGCTCCTAGAGCGCTCTTAGGGGGTCTCTTGGGGTCTTCTTGGGGCGCTCTTGGGCGCTCCTGAGGCTCTCCGGGGCGTCTTTGGGGCCTCCCTTGGGCCGTTGGAAAGCCCTCCAAGAGCGATTCGAACTCGACGTCGATTCGGAGTTCCCTCTCGGGCCGATGTTTGGAGGATTTCTCGAGCGAAACGGCAATGTTTCAAACATCCGCCAGCGTGGTTCCAAAGTGCGCCCCGTACCCCGTCATTAATTTCTACCACCAACAAGCGGTCCACGCCAAGGGCGCTTCCCGTCATCCGCCACTGTGCCTCTGGGCACGGAGTGGGCGTGTCCTCAAGCCCTTTTCACAATTCCTGGTTGGAGGCCTGGAAATTGGCACCAACACCAGCACAGGGCGTTCGCCTCCACATGGAGAAGATGGCCTTAGATTTCGGTGTTGGTGGTAATATTTCGGTCACCTTGAAGCCAGAATGTTACCACCATCACCGAGATCGGGATCGTCCTCCCTCGGTGGAGGCACACCGCCGATCTTGGTGTTGGTGTCAGCCTCTAGGCCTGCGACCTGGAGCCTCACCGAAGTCTTCACGGGGCCCAGAGCCGAAGTTCTCAGATCTCCTGGAGCTTGGCGCGGTTCCCCTGGAGGTCCCCCGCGTCTCCCCGCGTGACTTTTTGGTGCCCGAGAGGTTCCCGAGATGGGCCAAGAGGGCTCCAAGAGGCCCAAGAGGACCCCGAGTTGCAGAGAAAGATCGCTCCAAGACGCCCAAGATGGCATCAAAATTGCCCGAGAGGCTCTCAAGAGGCCCCAAGAGGCCTCTGAGAGGCCTCCCCAGAGGGCCCCAAGAGGCGCAAATCATTGTCTTCCTAAGCTTTTTGAACGATTTGGGCGTTCTCGTCTTTTCGGCTTTCCGACGCTCCACGGCGGCCCACGAGGCCCGCAAGATCACCCCAGACAGCCAAAGAGGTCCCGAAGAGGGCCCCAAGACGGCCCAAGAAGGCCCCAAAACAGCCCCAAAAGGTATTCAAGAGAGAGAGAGAGAGAGAGAGAAAAAAAAAAAAACGAACCGGAAACCCGAGCCTTCCGCCCTAAAGGCCCCCAGGAGGCCCCAAGAGGCGCCCGGGAGGCCCCCGAGAGGCCCCCAGGAGGCCCCCAAGAGGAGCAAAAACACCCGAATGAGGGCACCAACGCTGCCCCCAAGAGGCCTCCAAACTGCCTCCAAGAGGCCCCCGAGAGGCCTCCCACGAGACCCCAGCGGGCATCCAACAGGCTTCATGCCCACAACCCAGGTACGGTAGCGGGATGGGCCGAAGGCCATCACGTACGTGGGCGGAGGGGGGACCCATTATGCGCCTGACGCGTGCGCGCGGGGCACATGCTTTCACGTGCCCACGGCCCCACAAACAAAGTACGTGCGCGGAGGAAGGAGACCCACCAGGCGCCAAGCGCGTGCGCGCGGGGCACGTATTTTCGCGTGTCCACGGCCCCCAGCGCGGGAGGCACAAATCCCTCGAATCCTCTCCAGGTCTGCGTCCCGCTGAACGCTATGATGTCCGAGTCCTTCAGCTCACGGCTGATGTCTTCCGGTCGCTCACTCGTGGGAGCACCAAGCGGGCTGCAAACTACGATCTTCATCGCGAGAACACAAACTCCACTCTCATCCACTGCTCGAACGCCTGCCTCCAGACCCGTTGGCAGATGGAGAGGGTCGGCCGAGGTTGCGGTGGGCGGGATCTTGTGCTCTCCCAGCGGGTTTGTGTGGCTTCGAACTCCCTCGGCAACATGCTGCAACCTTGGGGGAGGAAAAGGAACAGGAGGAGGAGGACGACGAGGAGGAGGAGGAGGAGGAGGAGGAGAACGAACGAACGAACGACTCTGCAGAGGCGCGTCAGCTGATCCTGCACCGACTCCTGGCATTCGAAACCTAAGGGAGAGGATTCCAGGGCTGTCTCGCTTCTGGAGGGCGCCGTGATGTGCTCCATGTTCATCACGCGTCGCCTCCCCCTCCTCCTCTTCCTCCTCCTCCTCCTCCTCTTCCTCCCCATCATCATCCTCATCCTCATCCTACTCTTACTCCTGATCGTGCCTCCCCCCCCCTCCTCCTCGAGCCTCCCCCTCATTCTTCTTCTCCTCGATCCTCCTCCTCCTCCCCCCCACCTCGGCGCCCCAGGAGAGGAGGAGGATCCTTGCCCTGGGCGCGCCGACTGCGTGGAGACGGAGCGGGCATGGGGGGCGCCCCGGGCACCTCAGCGCCCCAGCGGGCAGCACCGGTGCCGCGGGCTGGGTGGCCGCAGGGGCTCCCTGCGCGGGGGCGGCCGAGGGGGGGGGGGACGTCCGCAGGGGAGGGCTCGCAGGTCATGGCCCGAGGCATGCGCGCGGACGAGGGGGGAGTCGGGAAACCACGGAGGATGCAGCCGAACAGGTGATGAATCACATCACGGTGTGAGAAGACTGGGGCAGCTTTCCAGGCGTTTCCTCGAACAGATCTGGGCCAAACTTTTGGTTCAAGATGGAGGGGCAAACGTGCTTCAGAAACTGGGCCAGCTTTCCTGCAAGATGGTTGAAAAAAAATGGCCCAACTCTTCGGGAGGAGGTGTCTTAATCAGACGCTCGACCATGAAGGAAGGAGATCTCGGAGGCCCTCATGTAGGGAACCGAACTCTATACACCGACGCTTTTTTCCGGCCCTGCACTGAAATCTGCACTGGAAAGCGGATCCTGGTGTATACGGGGTGTAGACATTTCTCGCTGTTTCCCTGGGAACACGGGGGGCAACAAGTACATGCCACACCACCCCGACGTCGCCCCCGACCCTCCAAAAGCCCTGGGATGGATAATGTATGTGCTCCAGTTTCCGATCCCGGTCCCCCCCGCCATGAGATCTCTCCCTGTGATCACGCCCCTCGTGTTAAGTCGGGCGTGTCCCCCTACAGGGGGATTTGCGACGAAAACCAAAGCATACTACAAACATACTTCGCAAAATGGTCAGAAAATACTCAAAAAATAATCCCCGGACCATTTTTTGACTATTTTTGAACATTCCCCCTTTAGAGGGGCAGGCCCGACTTCTCGGGGGCGGTTAAGAGGGGGGTGTCCACGAGGGGGGGGATGCAAATCATGTCCGGCGGCACGTGCGCGGCCCGGCCCGAGGGGGGGGGGGGCCAGGGACGTAACGAAATGAGAAGAGGCGCCATGAAGTCTGGGGAATAATCACGGCCCACGCCATGAAATCCACGCCCCCCTAGTCATCACCCCCCTCTTTGCCGCCCCCGACTCCCGCCGACTGCCTCCTCCCTCCTCCTCCTCCTCCTCCTCCTCCTCCTCCTCCTCCTCCTCCTCCCTCCTCCTCCTCTCCTCCTCCTCCCCCTCCTCCTCCTCCTCCTCCTCCTCCTCCCTCCTCCTCCTCCTCCGCCCCTCCTCCCCCCTCCTCCTCTCCCCTCCTCCTCCTCCTCCTCCTCCTCCTCCTCCTCCTCCTCCTCCTCCTCCTCCCCCTCCTACTCCTCCTCCCTCATCTCCTCCTCCTCTGCCGCCCCCGAGCTTGCCCCTCGTGGGTGCCCCCGACCTGCACAGCGGGCACTCCGGGGCGCGCCCGCGCTGGGCCTCGGCCCAGGCCTCGAGGCAGTCGGCGTGGAACTCGTGACGGCTTCAGGAGGCAACTGCTGGGAGGCCCTCGTGAGAATCAAGTCGGGCCTGTCCCCAGGCCGATGTTGGAGGAAAGGCGAAGGATTCCCCCAACAAATTCTCTAGAAATGCTCAAACATGGTTTAAACAAAATAGCCCCCGCACCATTTTTTGACAATTTTTGAATATTCCCCCCTGTAGAGGGACAGGCCCGACTTAACGTTAGAATGACAGGCCCGATTCTCGGGAGATCCTGGCATCGAATTTTTCCCGCCGCCCAGTTCAGGGCCCTGGGGGCCGTCACGGATCGATCCGGCTCGAGGCACGCTGCAGAAAGATGGGGTCTGGGACTCCGGTCGTGCTCCTTGGCGATGCTTCCACTTCTCGAGACGTCGTGCCTCAAGGTCAGAAGCCACTGAGCCAGAATGAGCGGCATGAAAGGCGGGATTGGCGGGGACTCTGTCGGGTCGGGCAGCCTGTCGATCACGGCTAATATCCTCTCTCCCGACGTCGCGAGACATGCAACCCTCCCCAGAACTCACGGCCCGAGACCTTGGACCGCATCTATCTGCGTCAAAGCTCGGACGGGACTCGTCCGTGACTTGCTGCCGCTCGGACGCCCACCTCCCGTGCATGTTCCGGTGTCGTGCGCGTTGTTGTTGGCTCGATGGCCCAGGATGGCCCTCGATGTAGAGGGAAAAGAACTATGCACATACACCGATTCTGGACAGGCCCTTCCTGAGCCCAGGATCGGTGCATACGCCCTCCTACCTTGGCCAGGAAGGCATATGCACCGATCCTGGGTCAAGGATGGGCCTTGCCAGGATCGGTGCATGTGCATATTTTTCTTCGCCCGATCCTCGATGGTTCTCGCCGAGAAGACATGCACACGTCCGAGGAGCGATGCCAAGGCGAGAGGGCCCCGGGGCCCGACGCCGGGCGAGGACGCCCGCAGTGAAACATAGCGCAGCGCCGAGGGCTCTGCAGCTATATCTTGCCGGCGCCGATGCGGACCTGCCGCCTCCGACCTCTCGCAAACCTCCCCGGGGCCGGCTTCTCGTCCCCACTTTGCAAGACTCTTGTGCTGCCAGCGTTAGCAATCGGTATGGCATCCCGAACAAGCGACTATATAACCCCCAGCAACTAGTGATGTAAGCCATTCTCCCAACTGTAACTAGATAGCAAGTCCAATCATGCTTTAGCATTCTGATCCCTGGCTCATAAGGTTTTTGCATGTCGATTGTGAGGTTTGGAGTGATCTCGCAAACCTCCCCGGGGCCGGCTTCTCGTCCCCAGTCGCGACGCCTGGAAAAACATGAAAAAACATGAGGCCGAAAAACATGAAAAACATGAAAAATATGAAGCCGAACAAAAATGAAGAACATGAGACAAACATGAAAATTATGAAAACAACATGAAAAAACATGAAAACACTTGAAGGGTTTCCAGAGGCCGCAAAACATGAAAAAACCGTCTCGATTCCCTCGAGACGCCCCACGTCTGACCAGCACCCTCCCAGGAGTTGCGCCCTGAGGTGATGGCATCGCGTGCGGCACACGCCCTGCTCCCTCCGGAGGGCCTGGAGGCACACCGCGCACTGCTGCATGGCTGGGCCGGGTGCGCCGACCAGGGGCAGGTGCTCCTGGGGGGGGGGCAGCACAGAGACCGACACGACAAGCCCGCGTCGGATTGCATGTTTCGTGCCGCTGCTGCAGATGTCCGCTCCCGGAGGCCGCGTCTGCGGAAGACGGGCGACTGCCCCACCCGGGAGACGACCAGACACGGGCCTTACGCAAGATGGCACAGCGACCTCGCGCGGTGGCTTACGGCAGGCTCGTGTCGTAACGACCCCAGCGATGGCTTCTGACACCAAGTGGCTCGTTCAACCTTGAACGATCGGCGCGGCTTCCCGATCGCCAACTCGTTCCATCTTGGCCGGTTATTGGCCGCCGCCAGCCTTACACGCCCGCGGCAGGGCCGCTGCCACGTCGGTGCCCCTGGGGGGGTGGGGGACAAAAACGAATCCGATCGGGCAAGGAAGATGAGCGCCCATGTTGTCCATTCGGGCTCGTACGGGGGGAGAAGTGAACGATGATGGCGACGCCAAGGCGGCGGATGACGAGGATGACAGGCCGTCGACGTCGATGACGGGGAGGGCAGCGAGGGGAGCAGGAGGACAACAAGGATGAAGCAGGCACAAGGCCGAGGAGGAAGAGATGGAGGACGAGCACGAGGAATGAAGCGGCGGACAAAAACAGACTGCCGCCGTGGCCCCTGGCATGTTGAGGCGTAGTGGAATGCCGAGTGCGTTCTGGCAGACCGTCTGCAGTTTTCTACAGAACCCCCCCCTCTCGTAGAATCGAGTTGCGTGCATCGCCCCCCCTCTTGCCGAAGCCACATTCCCGGACCTCTCCCGGGATGCGTTCAGACCAGACTGGCCAGAGCTTCGAAAAGAATCCAGCAGTGACGGCGACGAGGGCTCTCCAGGACGAGCAGCGGAAACGGTATCTTCCCCGCCTCCTCTGACCCCCGCCGCCGACATGTTTTTATCAATCCGAGGCCCCAACGGTCCCGACCGCTTTCCTGGGACTGAACAGATCAGAGCGTCGGGGATCCGGGCATCTTTTCTCGGCGGCAAGCCCAGGGAGGAAGTCAGAGAGGGCGGGTCTTCTCAGAAGGCTCGGAGGGCCTCGGGCCTCGAGCCTTCTGGGAAGTTCTCCGAAGCCTTCTCCGACGACCGAGAAAACTCCTCAGAAGGCGCGAGGGCTTCTGAGACGTCCCGCCGCCCTCTGAGAAGGCCTGCCCCCTCTGTAGAGGCCTCCTACAAGCCTCGTCGAACATCAACAGAAGACTTCTGAATTCGGTGATGGTGGGGTCAGCGCTACTCCAATGCTGACGGATGCCTGTTGACTCGGACGCGGCGTTGTCCCAAAAACGGCCCCACCCTCTCAGCATTGAAGAACGCGCTTTCTGACAAGTGCCCGAATGCATCGTGCTACAGGATTTTAACTTCCTTTTCTGGATATTTTTGACGAGGCTTGAAGGTCCTAGATTGGGTCTGAGCAATTGGAGTCGGAAGATTGCACCGCATCGCCGATGCATCGGCGATGCAACGGCGACGCTGGCGCGGGGAAAATCGGGCTCCACATCGAGCCACATCGCCGATGCAACGGCCATGCGTCGCGACCCTCCGGCCCCCTCTGCTCCGTACCCGCTTTTGGGCGGCCCAGAGTGAAGGCCTCCCCCCAGGGCTCGCCGCCGACGTTCCTTTTCTGGAGGAAGAAAAAGCGACATCAGCGTAAACTTTCGAAGATCCGCGCGGACTTCTTGGATCTGCGCTGGAGCCCCCTCCCTGGCGCGCGGAGCGCGCGCCAGGGATTGGCGCTGGAGGCGCTGCCAGGGAGGCCCCAGCGCGGAGCGCCAAAAGGCTATGTTTGTGTTAAGTCGTGCCTGTCCCCCTACAGGGGGATTTTGGATGAAAATAAGACATGCTCCAAACATGCTCCAAAATACTTACAAATAATCCAAAAATGCCCCCCGGACTATTTTTATACTACTTTTGAATATTCTCCCTGTAGAGGGACAGGCCCGACTCAATAAGGAACGAAGCCCCCTCTTGGCCCTGTAAGAGCCTCCGTGCCCCAGGAGGGCAAGAGGAACAGCACTGGAGGAACCGAAGGAACATCGAGCCCCTTTCCGAACCCAAACTGTTCCTTGTTTCAGCGTCTTGACTGTATGTTTGTGCCGATCTTTCTTCTTCCAGGGAACCGAACTCTATACACCGATGCCTTTTTTCCAGTCCCGCACTGAGATGCGCACAAGAAAACGGATTCTGGTGTATACGGCATCCTGGTGTATACATGTTTTGCTGCTTCCACGGGAAAGCAAGGAAAAAAGTATACACCACACCACTCCGACGTCGTCCCCGACCCTCAAAAATCCTGGGATTCAAAAACAGCCCGCCACTGGCAATGTAGACGCTCCAGTTTCCGATCTTCGGCTCCCAGAGCTCCACGGGGCCCCGCCACGCGTCGCACGCGCCGGGCGCCGCCCAGCGCAGCAGGGCCACCAGCAGCGCCGCGCACAGCGCCAGCTCCGCGCCCCGCAGCGCCGCCGGGGCGCGCCGCGAGCACGGCCCCTGCAGGCACAGCAGCAGCGCCGACAGCACGGCCGCCAGCGCCCAGTCCACCCGCCGCCTGCCCAGAGCCCCTCGCGCGGCTTTCAACACCGCGACGGGGAGCTTTTGGCGATTCGCGGCCTCCAGGGGCCCTCACCGGGCCTTTGGACCGCCAGAAGACGACTCGGGATGAACAACGGGCCCCGGGGAAGGGGTCCCGACCTCTGGGGGCCGAGGTGGTGACAAAAATCACGACGTCGGGGGTCTGGGTACACCCTGAGGGCCGGGCGTTCTTTCGTCGCAGCGGGCGCCTCTTCCCAGCTTCAGGCCCCCGGACCCTCGCAGGTCGGTCCGGCGCTGAGGAGAAGGCGCAGAAAGACAGGCTCTGGGGCTCCTGTCGTGATCTGCGATGTTGTGTGTGTGTGTATATATGTATATATATATATATATATATATATATATATATATATATATATATTGCAGCGTCTGAGCCCAGGGTGCACCTACACTTATGTCGGGCCTGTCCCCCTACAGGGGGATTTTGTGCGAAAAATAAAAAAATACTCAAAACATACCCAAAAAGGATGCCCAAAAATACTCAAGAAATAGTCCCCAGACCATTTTTGACTATTTTTGAATATTCCCCCTGTAGAGAGACACGCCCGACTTAAACCTGCACCGATCCTGGCCGGGCCCGTCCTGGGCCCGAGATCGGCGTGTACGCTCCCCTGCCCGGATCACTGGATCCTGGCATTTTCCAGACCGCGTTCGACGAGATCGGTCGCTGTACCAATCCTGCCTCAAACTCCGGCATCGGTCGCGACCGACAGGGCGCGATCGGTCGCGAATGGTCGCGACCAGTCTTGGAATCGGTCGCGATCGGTCGCGACCGACTTGGAGTGTCGATCGGTCGCTGCCGACCGCGACCGAAAAAAACCTGCAACCAACGATCTGGGTGGATTGGACAGGAATGGGAAACCACAAGTGAACTCTACCCCTGCAGGTCAGGAGTTTTGAAACGTTGAGGGGCGTCTGCAGCCAAGTGGCACCCCCAGCGGCGGTGCCTGATACCCCAGCGCAAAGTGTCACGAGCGGCGGACATATCCGTGTCCGCGCCCCCGAGGCTCTGGATTCCAAGGCGCGATCCCGCGGATACGCGGTCGCACGGATACGTTCCGCGCGAGGCATCCGGGAAAAACGCTCCGTATCCGCGGGGTCGCGGCCCAAGGGCCTGGCCCGCCAGGCCGTGGACAGGGATGTTTTCCGCACACGAGAGGACCCGCAGGGGTCGGGTTCGCAAGTGGCCGCAGGAGGACGGCAGGTGCACCGATCCCTCGCATACGATTGTCGTCAACGACATGCCGCATCGCAACAAATAACGACCGGAGCCCCGGGCTCCATCTCTTGGTGTGCCAATGTTCGAGCCGGAACCGTCTGTGAGGGCCGTGGGGCCCAATGCCAAGCGAGAGAGCCCGTTCTTGGGGAGACCAAAAGGTACCGATACCGCCCGCTACTCCCCGGACCTCTCCTGGGGTGCGTTCTGAACAGGATTTCGAAGCGAATCCAGCGGTGGCGACGAAGGCCTCCCAGGAGGCCCCAAAGAGGGGAAACCGAGGGAAGGGTAGCGGTACGGGCCCCTCTTTTTCCCCTCTGAGAGAACGCCCGTTCTGGCAGAATCCCAGCGCTCAGATCTGAGGGAACCTGGGCCGAGGATCGGCCCAGCCAGGGTGCGCCGCGGGTGCCCTCCAAGCCTGCAGCGCTGCAGCAGCCGCCGCGGCCACCCGCGGGCCGCAAGCGCGCACACGCCGAGCGGGCTGGTCAACAGCGGCGAGGCAGCCCACCACAGCGTGGTGCCCGCCGCCAGGTCCAGGGGCACCGCGCAGCTGGCGGGCGCCAGCTCCCAGCCTGCGGGCCCCAAGAAGATACACCACCACCAAGTCGATTCCTCCTCCCTCCTCTGCCCTCATTTGCCGTAGCCAATTTGGCACAAGCCATTTTGGCTCAAGGTATCAGGCGCCGTGCCCGGTACAGCGAACCTCTCTCGGGGCGGGCAGCCACGCGCGCCGGCCCGCGCCCGCGCCACGGGCGTGCGAGCCCCGCCGCGCCGCCGCTGCGGCGCCGTGCGCGCCTCGGGCGCGCGGGCCCCGCCGCGCCACCGTGCGCGCCTAGGGCGTGCGGGCCGCGCCGCGATAGCAGGGCAGCGAGCCAGCGTGGCACAGACGGGCTCGACGACAGCGTGCACAGGCACGTCTGGTGCTGCGGCTGGTCAGCGCCGCGAAGTGTCTCGCAACTCACCGCAGCGCCATGGCGTGGCAGTGGCAGGCCAGAGGCAAAGGCGGCGGAGGAAAGGGTGGTCAGCAGCCCCGCCGTCCCCGCCACCCCCGCCGTGATGGTGTCCAGCATGCGGGCATGCAAATGCCGCCATCGACCTGACGTGCAGGACCTGATACCCGCTTCCACAGCAGAGTCCAGCGGCGTTCAGCGCGTTCCGCGATCAGCCGCAGCACCAGCAGCAGCAGACAGGCAGCGGACCGCAGCAGCAGCAGCAGCAGCAGCACGCAGCAGCGGGCAGCGGGAGAGATCAGCACGGAGGAAATGGACGTGACCAGCGGCGGCGGAGGCGGGCTTCAATGCCAGTGCACGGCAGCGCTTGCCCCAGTCGCCAGCGCAGCCCGAGCCGTCCTCCGCCGCCGGCCCACCCCCAGCAGCGAGATGGCGAGCCCGCGGAGGAACCAGCCCCAGAGGTGCCCTCCCGTCGCCAGTCATCCCGCCGGCGCTCGCCAGCCGCCGACGTCACGTTCGACGAGAGTGAGCCTGAGTCGACCGAGGAGACGGCGGATCGTCCAGCAAGGCCGCAGGAGGCCCTCGGCGTGCTCCCTGCAATGCCCGAGCAGGCTCGTGCGCGCCCAGCCTGGGGGCAGCCGCCGGCGGACCCTACCGCCTTGGTCAACCACAGGCGCAATCTCCGCCGCATGGCGGTGGCGTCGGCAAAGATGCTTCGCGCGTCCCGCGAGCTCGGCCTGTCGACCAGCATCCTCGAGATGCAGGAACAGGAGTACTCAATCCTGATGGCTGTGATCATCGTGGCCAGGGCCCCGGAGGTGCGCCTGGCGAGGCAGCGAGCATTCGTCGAGCGCGCCCAACGCCGCTCAGATCGCGCCGAGAAGGCGGCGCACGAGGCCACGATTGAGCACAAGGCTCGCCAGCTGGTCCAGCAGCACCGTGCCAACGAACTGACTCGTGCACAAGTCTTGCTGCAGCAGCTCGAGATCTTCTCCCCTTTGCCAGCCGCCGCCAATGACGTCGAGATGCAGGGCACCGCAACGCCTGTGGCGGAGGACGTGGCGCCCACCACGCCCGTGGCGACGGCGCCCACCCAGATGTCGGCGCCTCGGTCGCAGCCATCGCCGAGCTCCAGCAGGGCCAGGTGAGCACGGCGCAGCAGATCGCGGGCCTGGCCACGGTCCTGGGCGGACTGCAGTCGGCGCTGACGCAGATCACGGCGGCAGCGAGCATGGCGGCGACTACTGCCACGACGACTCCAGCCACACAGCCAGCTGCTGATGCCAATCCTGCCCCGGCTGCGCAGCCTACGCAGCACGTCGCCGCAGTGTCACAGACTGCTGCTGCACGGCCCCCTGCCGCGGCATGTCCTGCGACGACGGCAGCTCAGCGCCAGGCGCAGGCAGCGATTGACGCAGCGGATGCAGACACGGATGAGAACGCCAAAGCAGATGCCAGTCAGGCTGCGTCGGGTGAGCGCAAGGCGGCTCGCCGGGCGCGCGCTCGCGCTGCTGCCGAGGCTCGCGCGAAGGCGGCGGCGGACGAGAAGGCAGCCCTGCAGGCCCAGGGCTTGGCGGCTGTTGGGCAGCCCGCCCTGGAGACAGTCATCGCAGCGTCGAATTCTGCGTCGATTCCAGGAGGCGCGCTTCCACGCGCGGTGCCGGGCGAAGAGCGCCCCGAACCAGCGGGTAGAGAGGAGCCAGCAGGCGGCGGAATCCGTGAACGCAGCCCGCGCCGTACGAGCGCGGAGGAGGTTCGCGCTGGCCAGAGTTCTGAAGGCGATATCGACGTGACGCAGGCGAGCCCGCCGCAGAAGGGGCGAGCCAGCTTGCGAAGCCGCCAGGCGCCAGTGGGGGTCAGCCCGGGGGGGGCTCCGAGCGCCGCGGCTCTGCCGGGGCACTCAGCCCCGTCACTTTTTTCGGGCGTGCCGCCCGACGGTCGGTCCAGTTCCCGATTGCAGCAACTTAGCAGCATTGCTCGCGGCCCAATGGCAAGACGCAGTGCTCTCCCCCATTTTCGTGGCGCCGCCATCCACGCAACATCCTGTGCCATGCCTCTTCCGCCGTCGTCTTCATTCTAGTACCGTTGATTTCCTGGCACAGTATGCCTGCTCTAATGATGTTCACGACGATGACATGGATCATTTTGTAGTGTGCACGGACGGATCGGGAGGGTCAGACAGCACGGACATGCAGGGGCCACCATCATGGGCGTTTGCTGTGTGTGGTGTGACGCAGGACGGCAAACATCGGATGGATGGCTACATGGCCAGACCCGCCCCATCACTTAAGGAGGAGCACGTGAGCCCGTCAAGCCCCGCCGAGTTTCATGCTGCTCTTTGGTTTGGTTGTTGGCTCCTTCAGGCACCTTCGATATACCGCTCGAAGCGCATTATTGTTCGTTCGGATAGCATGATGGTGGTAGAAGCTGCTGCAAGAGGTGTGATGTACAGATATTGCGGCGTGTTGCCCATCATGTTAGACTCACTCGTAGAGCTCGCGCGACTACGCACTGTGATAACATGGTGGTCACGCTGCGTATCCACTGAACGAACTTGTAGATGCACTTGTTCGCCTGGTGTCGATCATGGATATATCGGGTCGTCCAGAAGACGGGGTGCCTTGGTCTATACTACTCTCTCAGATAGACAAGGTTCCATGGTTATGGTTGACAGCCGACGCCCACCGTGGTGCGAGTGAGTTCCCAAAGCTGACCCCAGCCCGCCTCGACAAGATTGCTCCTGCGGAGGTGTCCCCTCTGCGAGCTCTCTCGTCGCCCGCTGCTGGATCGACAGCCCGAGATTGTCAGCATCCAGACTGGGACAGTCCACAGGATACCGCGCCATCCTCTTTCTGTAAACTCAGGTTCGCAGTCGCTGCCGTACTTGCACTGCGACCACGGAGACGACATACACGCTCTACAGGAATACGCTTACGATGCACGTACCGGGATGCAGCGAGCATTGATATCCCTGGCCGCATGCTGGCCGTTGCGCATCAACTTGCAAGTTGCCAATATCTATCCGTAGGCACGCTTGAGACACGACTGAGGTGCAACACTGGGCGTGGAATTGATCCGCATCGCGTGATGACGTCAGCAGCCGAAGCACATGGTTGCTACGGGGTTGCGTTGTGGGTAAACACAGGGTTGGAGTACCTTCCAGGCTGCGCGCTAAGCAGTCGACATTTTCGGGCACCCTCACATGATTCACGGCATTTGCTTGTAGCTGTGCGGGCCCCCTCGCTACGCATCCATGTTCTTGTTGCACGCGCGGCACGTGCACGCGCGACGGGAGGCCCTGACATGGTAGCACAGTGGTGGACACGCATGCGCGATATTGTACTCACGCGGCCTAGTCAGGCCCCGCTGGTTTGTCTACTGGACACAAACGCCACTGTCGGGACGGTTCAGCCCAGCCATGCGGGTCCCGTGAGCGCCGAGCAGGACAACGACACTGGACACTTGTTTCACGATATCCTACGAGCTACCAGACAGAGTGCGGCGTCTACTTGTTCGAAACCATTCCACGGCATACATGGTACGTGGATGCCGCCGGGCGCGGCCCCCCAGGACCCGAGGCGCCGCAGTGACTACGTGACTTTGCCTCAAGCCTCTCTCAATTGGATCAGTCGACAAGGGTTTGATCCGACAGTGGGTGTGTCTATGCGATATGATGATCATTTCGTGGTGATGGCCGACGTGCATGTCAGCAGTGCGGGCTCTGTGCGGGCTACTTCCTCTTGGGCCAAAGTCCCCCGCGATCAGCATGCATCCAGGACGCTGAGTGCGCGGCTAGCTTTGCTACCGTGGCCAGAAATATTCCGCGGCCAGCCTTCCAGTCGCGCCCTGATGCTCGCGCACTACATTTGAACGACGACCCAGTTAGGGCGGTCAGCGTTTGCCGCGTCAGTCATGGTTCTCGGTTCGCTCACTGACGCTCATGGGTCGTCGCTCTTCCGGGCGACGAGAGCAAACATATGTTGCGAAGACGACTCAACTTACCACTGATTGCTGCTGCCTTTTGTGCGTGGGCCACAGATGGGAAGGAAGTGGAGGAGTGGTTGGACTACCGACAGCGCAGGTGGAGGTGGTCAGCGCGAGAAGGTCCCCCTCGTGCGTTGCTCATTGATGCATGCGATGCGGTTGCGCACGTCGGGTTACAGGGTTTCGAGGCTGCAGTGGAGTTTGCACACCCCTTGCAGGATGCAGAAGGTAGGTTATTACCCCCACCTCTCCATATCGTACATCGGAAGGCCTTGTGGAGACTGTGTCGTGTACGAATAAATGGGAGCCACGCAGGACACCTGCAGCCCAATGACTGTCCCCTGGTAGGCATTCCGCGTGCCATGTATCAATTAAGGTACTATTCCCAACCTCTGGAGGTGGCAGGATTTTTTGTGGGCCTTCACATTCGTATTCATGCGGGGTGCGTCGTTTGTGATCAACAAATCTACCGCGCTGGACGCTGCCAATCACTGCGATGACATTGCGACCGGCATTCAGGATGCATGGTCCCGGGGACAGGCAGCGGAGGCTTTCGCGGCCTTACGCCGCGTCGGTGCAGGGCCCCGCCGCAAGCGCATGCTTAAAGGGCTGCCGATACTCAAAGGCATGCATGCCCA